TGTGGTGTAGCCCCTTGGTTTAAAGTTTGCCTGAAACAAGGTTTCAACTGTAACTGATTGGTTGCCTTCATAAACAAAAATGTTGCGAATACTTGTGTTAGCCTTCAACATCCGACTAAACAACAAGCCACATTTCATACATATTTCCCACCATATTTTCTGGAGGGTCCGTGAGCAGGTACAAAGAAGAGGAGGACGCCCAGCACCAGAGCAACAGTGGCATCTGTGATGTAGTTGGATTTACTGAAAAACAGAAAAAGTGATCAGCTGGGTCATGGTTCATTGCTGCTGCGAAAAATCATAAAAATGCATGTTTCCCAAAGAATCTGGTCTGGTCTTTGTCATTGTATCATTCGTATCGTATTGTTTGTGGGAATAATTTTGAATAATTTCCAAGGCAATAAAAGAAGGCTGTGACTCACTGAGGGAAGAGGGAAGCCCAGCCGGGTATAAAACCTGGAGATCTGGTCAACCACAACAAAACCATCACCACAAAAACCACCCCGGTGAAGATCTCCTGAGAACTGGAGAGAGGGAACGAATGAATGTGTGAATGCATAAATTATCATAGGAATGTCTTTCTGTCAATAACTGATCAACAAGTAAAACGACTGACAGCATTGGCATGACAACTGACCATCTAAGGTACTGTAAAACGCTGTGGATAGTTATATAAATGCATGAATAAAAATATAGCTCTTTAAATCAGTTATATATATACACACACACACATATACTACAGCCACGATTACCAACACTAACAAGCTGATCTACAATACGGCAGCAGAGAAGGAGGCTAAGATCAAGGTAGCACGGAGGGAGGTTAGCCAACTATCGGAGTTGCAGAAAGGCGCGATGAGGAAGGTGCCTAAGAAGTACAGGAAGCTGTCCATACATGAGGCCTTGGAAATTGCCAAGCAACGAGCCTTGCTGCATGGAGGTAGACAAACAGAAGAAGACGGCCGTAGTGATCGATGTAGCGGTTCCGAATGACAGCAACATCAGGAAGAAGGAACACGAGAAGCTCGAGAAATACCAAGGGCTCAGAGAAGAGCTCAAGAAGATGTGGAGGGTGAAGGTTTACCACTGGGACCACCAGGTGAAGGTGACGGTGGTCCCAGTGGTAATCGGAGCACTAGGTGCAGTGACTCCCAAGCTAGGGAACAACATCAGTGATCTCTGTCCAGAAGAGTGCATTCCTAGGAACAGCTAAGATACTGCGCAGGACCCTCAAGCTCCCAGGCCTCTGGAAGGATTGACCACCCACAGGATTATTATTTTTTTAATATATATATGAATTCCTCAACAATCAATTCCTCAATTTGCATATTAATGGTCATGAAGCTGACCTCACAGTCCACTGTCAGTCCGTGGTGCCAGTACTATTTATAAGGTTGGGGAAACCTGCAGTCATCTGAAACTGAAGAAGTCACTTGGATGACACTGAAAACGCTATGTCCAGATTCTGGGATTTCTTAGCTGGATGATTGAGCCTGCATTAAGACCCAGTGTAAATCCCTAACCAACATCCTGTATCACCAACACTGCATAAATGATCACGTATGAATGAATAAATGATCAAACTGATTACTTTGAAGAATAAACGAGTGTGTAAATGAACGAATGAGAGATCACCTAATGGCTCCCAGCTTCTTGTACTCGTCTTCCAGCACCTTTTTCACCGCCCTCTCTCTGTCAGACTGCTCTCCCCGACACTGCCACAGGAACTTGAAGCTGCATGAGACAGTGTGTGTGTGTGTGTGTGTGTGTGTGAGAGAGAGAAATTTCATTTTAATCTTGCAAATTTTACTATTTAAGTCAAACTGATGATAAAATTCAGTCTTTGCACTAAAATAATCTGGAGTAAGAGAAACACTTTGTATGCAGGAGTGATTTGTTTTCCTGGATCTTCTTGGATTCTGGAGACAGAGACTGTGTCTACTTAAAGAGAGGCTTAAAAATGTTGTTTTTGTTAAATCTCTAGTTAGATCTAGATCAGGTGACCGTGAACCAAGCTTTAGTTATGCTGCCAACTACTTCCCATCATGCACTGAGGACTGTAGTTCGTGTTTGTCTATGTTCTCCAGTTTAGCCTTCTCCTCTCTTTTATCCTCACTTCCTAATCAGTCACAGTTGATGGCTGCCCCTCCCTGAGTTCTTCCTGTTGTTAGTGATGCCTGCTCTGTTATGTCCTGAAGTCATACTACCAAATATAAATGGAGATGCATATAAGACACTTTTTCTGGAAACACCGCAGATTTTTGGAAGATGCTTTGGCATTCTTCTTTTTGGTGAGGATTGGACTTTTAAAATAAAAATCGTACCTTTAACCTATTGTAAATGGGGTAGCAAAACATAATACAAACTGTCACATAGCATGTATATGTTCTTTAGTTTTAGAAAAAGTTTAAAGCTAGTCAGACATTTCTGTTAAAGATGCCAACAACTGATCCACCATCAGAGCTTTGAACTATAATAAATCTTCACAACAATAAAACACATATATAACACATGTGATGATGCTTCCACTAATTGATTAATGCAAAGAATAACAAATGGAGAGTGCACAGAGAGTAGTCAGAATAGAATAGCACTGATAGCAGGTGATTGGCTCTGCAGATGGTATGCTGACACTCACTCTGAGCCAATGAAGAGCCAGTACAGCCAGAACCATGTCAGCAGCAGCATGATAACACTGATGGGCAGGCACAACAGGAACCAGTTTGCAAAGTTGATGCTGTTGCATTCTGGGTAAACGCTGAATGTAAAGACAGTGGATTCAAAAACATCATTATGTCATTCTAGCTGTGCAGCAGACTGAATTAACC